TTTACTAAACCTGGATTGATTTGTCTTGAAGCTTGATATAGAAAACGTGGAAACTTGAAATATATTTTGATACATTAAATGGTCACCGAAATAAACATTTAGATATGCCTAGTATTATTAATTTATATTCTTGTTTTTTTTTTTTGCTAGTATTAGTTATTTATATTTCACTTACAAAGAGTCCGTAAACGTATTAAAACAATAGTAGCTCTGTAAAATATCACTACGGTTTTTAGTTAATTTCAATAAGAAGTTATAATCAAGACAATTAGCTAAAAACAGATATTTGGTATATTTTTCGTTGGTTAACGCGAAAATTCATACCAGTCTCTAGAAAACAAGAGCCATCTCCATCTTTCTAATTAAGAACATTCTTGGTCGACCAAATTAGCAACCATATCTCATTGGTTCTCATTTATACCATTTGTTTATGAAAACTTATATATGCAACATTTTATTATAACTATTATATTTGAAAGGGACTGGCGTAGTAAAACATTTCTTTTTTTCTCTGTGTGTGTCATGAGATTTCTTGTAAGAATAGATCAATTGAAGTTACTCATTTAGGTCTATAAATGAAGCGTATAGTATAAAGTCCTGAAAAACTGATATAACAGCCCTACCAAACGTTTGTATGCCTACTTCTCCACGTTATATAGGCTTATATTATGCATTTTTTGTTGGTATTATATGCCTACTTCGTCACGTTAAGCTTAAATTATGTATTTTGTAATGAGAATTTGGGGTTTTCGTGTAGCCTGCTCATTACTATTGAAGTCTTGTTCACATTTTGTTCCGATTGACTTTTTTTTTCTTTCAAATATTCACTCCTCAAATTTGTCATATCATCTTCGTAAACAATGACTAATCACTATATGGCCCATGTTGCACATGATTTTTGCTAGGCAAGGTTGGATACCTATGCTATAACATAATCTAGAATTGAGGTGCCTCTACAATACATCATTCCAATTGTATTGCCATGTTTGAAATCGAAATCGAACTGGTATACGTAAAAGTTTATGGGCTTCTCATGTATAATTACTTAGCAATGAGAGGAGTTATCCATATTTAGTTTATCCAAATTTTGACTTTTAATTTTGTTGTTTAGTTCTATTCTTTTCTCGATTACTTCAAAATAATGTTTTCTTGAGCAATTACAAGATTGGTACAAGTTTGCAGGTTTTGCACGATTTGGACAGGTAGTTAAATGTAATTTTGTATGGACAATATTCTCAACAGATTCCATCAACACCCAAAAGTGTTTTTTTTTTTTTTTCAAATTCCATAAAACCCGTGTAACTAAACCCAAATTATTAAACAAACACTAAAATGTACCGAATTAAAAGTACCTTAAGCCCCAAGAAATAGACATAAACATAAAGAGTAAGACAAATTGAGAAGGGTTTTCTGTACAACTTCTCTTACCTACCCATTTACTTTTAGGTTAATACATTACATCAACACGTACAAAACCCAAAAAAACCATCGTTAGATACTTAAAGGTTACCAACTATATTGACCATTTCGTATCTCCTTCTTTCTTCTATAAAAAAATCCTCCTTAGATACTCTCTTCTCATTCCTATTCATATCTTCTTTGTGGGTGTGACCTTAAACCCAATAACTTGACAAAGATTAAAAAAAAAAAAAAATGTCTGGCTTGCTCGGAAAATTATCTCCGGCCAAACGTGAAACCGGCAACAATGATCTTCCTCTGTTTTACGTAAACCAAACTTCCATGGAGCCTCAGAGATGTCCAAGAGGTACGCCTAGAGTTTCTGCCACACTCGCCGAGCTTCTTATGAATGTGGAGGATGCAAGGAATGACCAGAGTACAACTCGCCGGGCTTTGGAAATGTCCTCACCTCTCACTTCTTCTGCATCTTCTTTCAATTCATGGACCTCGGCTCCTGCTTCTTCAATATCTTCTTCCCCATTTGTTCTTTCTTTCAACGACTTGACCTACAGCGTGAAGATCCGGAAGAAGTTTGAGCCCCTTGCTTGCTGCGGGAGGCCACGAAATGATTCCGCGGTGAACACTAAGATACTACTGAATGGTATTTCAGGTGAAGCCCGTGAAGGAGAGATGATGGCGGTTCTTGGAGCGAGTGGGTCTGGTAAGTCAACACTGATCGATGCATTAGCCAATCGGATCGCCAAAGATAGCCTAAAAGGCTCAATTACTTTAAATGGGGAAGTTCTTGAATCCAGCCTGCAGAAAGTCATATCTGCTTATGTTATGCAAGACGACCTTCTCTTCCCTATGCTTACGGTGGAGGAAACTCTAATGTTCTCTGCAGAGTTCAGGCTCCCTCGCTCACTCTCCAAGAAGAAAAAGAAAGCAAGGGTTCAAGCTTTGATTGACCAATTGGGCCTGAGGAGCGCTGCAAAGACCGTGATTGGTGATGAAGGCCACAGAGGTGTGTCTGGAGGAGAAAGGAGACGGGTTTCAATTGGAATCGACATAATCCATGACCCGATTATCCTCTTCCTCGACGAGCCAACCTCGGGACTTGACTCTACAAGTGCCTACATGGTTATCAAAGTGCTTCAGAGAATCGCACAGAGTGGCAGCATAGTTATCATGTCCATCCATCAGCCTAGTTACAGAATCATGGGTTTGCTAGATCGGTTAATCTTCCTTTCCAGGGGAAACACAGTTTACAGCGGCTCACCAACACATCTCCCTCGGTTCTTTTCAGAATTCGATCACCCGATTCCTGAAAACGAGAACAAAACAGAGTTCGCGCTCGATCTTATCCGGGAGCTAGAAAATTCGGCAGAAGGAACCAAGGAACTTGTCGAGTTCCAAAAGCGATGGCGGACAAAGCAGGCATCGAGGTACAACAACGGTAGCAGAAACAACAATGTCTCTCTCAAAGAAGCGATAACCGCGAGTATTTCCAGGGGAAAACTTGTCTCCGGAGCAACAAACAACTCCACAAACCTAACACCTTCATTCCAAACATTCGCCAACCCATTCTGGATCGAAATGATCGTCATAGGCAAACGTTCAATACTAAACTCGAGAAGACAACCTGAGCTATTCGGAATGCGTCTAGGAGCTGTAATGGTCACAGGAATCATCCTAGCTACAATGTTCACTAAACTAGACAATTCCCCAAAAGGAGTCCAAGAACGACTAGGATTCTTCGCATTCGCAATGTCCACAACATTCTACACATGTGCAGAAGCAATCCCAGTCTTTCTACAAGAACGTTACATATTCATGAGAGAAACTGCTTACAACGCTTACCGGAGATCTTCCTACGTCCTCTCTCAGTCAATAATCTCGATCCCTTCACTCATCTTCCTCGCCGCAAGCTTTGCAGCCACAACATTCTGGGCCGTTGGTCTCGCCGGCGGAGCCGATGGATTCCTCTTCTTCTTCCTCACAATCTTAGCCTCGTTTTGGGCAGGAAGCTCCTTCGTGACGTTCTTATCCGGCGTCGTATCAAACGTAATGCTCGGATTCACCGTCGTAGTAGCGATCCTCGCGTATTTCCTCTTATTCTCCGGATTCTTCATCTCTAGAGATCGAATCCCTCTCTACTGGATCTGGTTCCATTACCTCTCGCTAGTGAAATACCCTTACGAAGGAGTATTGCAGAACGAATTCGAAGATCCGACGAAATGCTTCGTCCGTGGGATTCAGATATTCGACAACTCGCCGCTTGGTCAGTTTCCGAATGCCGTGAAATTGAGTTTGTTGAAGAGTATGAGCGGAGTTTTGGGGATCAATGTTACGGCGGAGACTTGCGTGACGACGGGAGTGGATATACTGAAGCAGCAAGGAATCACAGATATAAGCAAATGGAATTGTTTGTGGATCACTGTGGCTTGGGGATTCTTTTTTAGGGTTTTGTTTTATTTCACATTGTTGATCGGAAGCAAGAACAAACGGAGGTGATGAAACATTTTTCTTTTTTTTGGGGCTTATTTTCTGGAAAAAAAGAGTAAACAAAAAAATTTGTCGTGTTTTATTATTTTTTTTTTTCTTCCCAGCTTATTTGTATTTCTTCGTGTAAATTTATTTATACTTAAGCAATTAATTAAAAGTGTATTTAATCTCTCCATTTTGAAAAAATAAAGTGAAAATTGTTTAGACATCAACCAAAAATAAAATTTCAAACCAACTATGGAAGAAAAACTCATTTTGCAAAGCAAATTCCG